AATTACGTATGTTGTCAGGGACAGATCGCAAGATGACGGAAAACTATATAAAAGATTATATTAAATCACAAGAGGCTCAGTAAGTAAATAAGTACCATCGACCAGTCAAATTACGACTGTTGTTAAACAAACTGAGTCGTTTTATGACAAATGGGGCGATGGTAATTCTGGTAGTATGTCAATCCGATGATGATTATTATAATTATATTAACAAAAAAATAGATGAAATATTTAAGGTGGATAATTTGTTAGAGTGGTGGGCTTCTCATCAAAGCGAATTCCCAATTTTAGCAAAATTGGCAAAACGGGTATTGGCTATTCCTGCTTCAAGTGCAAGCTGTGAGCGGAATTTTTTCACTACTGGAAGAATTCTTGAAGAAAGAAGAAGTAATCTTCAACCTGAAAAGGTAGATATGCTTTTCTTTCTTCATGATAATTTGTGAATTTTTAATATCTTTCTTGAGTATAGGGTTTCGTCAATCATGCTGGTTTTTTACTTTGCAAACTGTCAAATATTTATTGCATTTATTATATTTTACCTTGAGTCATGAAAGTTTTTTATTATTTTTTTTACAATATATTATATAATACAATTATCTTCTTTTGTTAAAAATTATATTAATTTAATATTGTGCAATTAGATTATATTTTCAAAATACTATTTATATTTATTTTACATGCATTTTTTTAAATAGCGATTTATTTTTATTTTATAAATTAAATAGTAAATACAATATATTATATTCTCAAAATATTTTCCATTATTTTATAAATTAATTTTTATTTTTTTTAAATGCAATATAAAATATAGTATATGCTCAAAATATTATTACCATTTTTATGAATATTAGTTTTATTTTTATAAATGCAATATAAAATATAGTATATGCTCAAAATATCCATTTTTATAAATAACAGTTTTATAATTTTTATAAATTTAATATAATATTCTCAAAATATTAGCTTTTTACATGTATTTTTTAAATAAAAATTAAAAATCACAAATAGAATCTTTTATATTCAAAAATATTATTTGCACAAATTTTTTATAGTATCAATTTGTAATTAAATATCTGAATAAAATATGGAATATACTTATATCCGGGCCGAGCCTTAAATTTTTTAATCCGGGCCGGGCCGTAAAAAATTTTTTTAAAAAATATCTGGGTCGGGCCTAAAAATTTTAAGGCCGGGCCATGCAAATGGTCCCTCTGCAAGTCTCTGATATTTTTCATAACTTATTATAACATTTTTGATTAAATGTATAACTTTTTTGTTTAACTTATATATAATTTGACTATGATTAAAATTAACCTCCTATTATTTGTTAACTTAGAATATCTTTTTATTTTTTCTATTGTAATTTAATAACAATGTCTTAAATTTAAATTTTGTAACTAAGTAATAAAACATTTGGAAGGGTGGTGGTTTGTTTAAAATTTAAATTAGAATGAACATATTTTTAGCATAGTACTTTAATATGTATTCATGATTTTCATATAAATACCAGGCAGGAGCTAACCAGTAGAATGATAGGTAAATCAGATATTTCCCCTTCATTTGATCCTAATTTTGAAATTCCCAAAATTATAAATGGCAAAAAAAATATATACATATTAGACAAATTCAATTCTTATAAACCTCTACATCACACCTATTTTTCTGGATCCTAGGAAAAAATAAATTATTCTGGGTTTTCTTGGGTTTGGGAAATATTTTTTACAATTAATATGGACTTGGAAGTAGCTTGGGAAACATTTATTAAAATTAATATAGTCTTAGATTCCTGAACTTTTTTTTAATTTTAAATATGAGTTAGAAATTGACCTAAAAATTTCTTTTGGAGACATGGCCAGGCCTGATCAAATAGCAAGGCCCATGCAACTTTCATATTCTGATTGTATTATTAAATGCATTGTGACTTTTTATATATTTTATTTCAGTTCTCAACTATCAAAATTATTATGGTCTTTTGAGAAAATTTTCCCAAGTGTGTGGACCTGGCTTGTGAATTTTTTTAATATTAGGCATAGGTCTAATATTTAACACAGAATATTTATATGGCCCTCAGGTAAAAGCTAATTTAAATATATTTTTATAAAAATTGTATTCATTCTCAGTCTTAATGGGTTGGCCTTTGTCTGAAGTAGGGGTGAGCTAGGTTAAAATAGAATAAAAAATAGATATGGTTTTTAGAGATTTACATCTCCCAGGTTGGGAAAAAATTTTTAAAATTACTATGGGTTGGCCAGGCTTGGGAAAATTTTTTTATAAAATTTTTATAGGTTGGGCTGGGTTTGAAAAATATTTTTATAAATTATATTAGGCTGGGCTTGGGGAAAATTTTTCAAAAATATTATGAGCTAGACATTGGCCTAAAAAAAAATTTTATGCAGGCCTGGGCTTGGCCTGATCAAAAAACCTAGGCCCATGAAAATCTGATTTTGATTGTATTTTTAACATTATGATTATTTAAATATTTTATTTCAGTTCTCAACTACCAAAATTATTATATTCACTGGGCTTGGAAGAGTTTTTAAAATTATTATGGCTCTAAAAGTAAAAAGATCAGATCAGGTACAGATATTGGCCCGATCCAATATTTTTGAAAAATGTTAAATATTGGTGCCGATCCGATATTTAAATAGGCACAGCTCTAACTAAAATTATTATATAATTTTATATTTTATTATTTTTAAATTTATATTTGCAAAATTTGTGTTATAAATCCAAACCAACTGGTGTATAAAATTTAAAATGTTTAAGCAAATGGATATAAATGTAAGTAAGACATTGATTTTCCTTTTCCAAAATTTGAAGAATTTCAACTTAATGAAGAAGTAAAAGTTGGCTTTAAATTTAAGAGCCAGATCAAAAATCCTCTAATGAAACAGGTATAAACTTAAGAAACGCCTTAAGGCATTATTTTTTTTATGATTCTAATAGGATTTTTTTTTAATGACAATAATTTCAAGGAGATAGAAAAATATCTGAATAATTTTGATATAGAGGACAAAACCCAATAAACATATTTAATGTCAACCACATTGATTAGTCCTAATATATTCAGATGTTTCTAAGAAACTGATTAATCATTGTAGATTTTATAATTGATACTAATTCCCTTAGTTGATAACCCATCATTTATTATTATGATTCAAAACTTTATCTTCTCCTGGTACAAAAGATTTTTTTGTTGGCAGATAATAATGACAAGAAAATTAATTTTTTTATTATATTAATTTTAGTCATTTTTTTAAATATAAATTCTTTAATATATAATAACTGTATTTAAATATTTTTAAATAAAGTAGTTAAGCCACTTTTTAAAAACAGTAGTTAAATAATTTACTATTTTTTTAAATAAGTAGTTATAGCAGTATTGCACTAAACCTTTCTATCAAATAACGGTAGAGATAGTACATGATTACTTTTAAAAGTAGGTTTTAAAAGTTTACATAAGTGATCTGCAAGGCCTGGCCCAATCCCATGGGGTCCAAATTTACTTTGGTCTTAGTTGAGCCTAATTTTTGAAATATATAAAAACATAAATTCTTCCAAATCCACTTTTGACTGTGACAAAAACAGAGATAAATTGGAATGGGATAAGTGCATTGACTGCCTTCCATATATGTTAACAACAAATCAGCAATAAAATTTTTAATATATCATGAATACCTACCCAAATAAAATAAGATTTAATAGATAAAAACAAAAAATTAGTAGATATTTCCAAAAAACAAGCATTTTAAAATTACAACTAAAATAAAATAATTTAATTCATTAAGTACCATTACAGAGACATTAGTTATTTATAATTTTAAATTTTCCAAATAAATGATGAAAAAAATAAATATAAAATGCAGGTATGTGAACTATTCTATAAAAAAAGGGTCGTCTGGTACAGGAATAAAATTTAAAAAAGAGTCAGTGTTCAGGTTTAAGGAACATAAAAAATGACTCAAAGTAAAACTTTTTCCATTCATTGTTATACTTCAATAAATAACATACATAATTTACAAATAAAAAAAAATTTATATTTTAAATGTTTTATTCAATCACACAATCATAATATCTTCTAAAATATTATATTTTAAAGAAAAAAATCCAACTTCCTAGATATTTATCTTTAAATACATAAATTATAGTACTTATGCCTGGTACAGCCATGCGATTCTAGACAAGATATATAATTCTGGAGGTTAAAAAATTTGAAATGATGGAAAAGTAGGTAAATAAAATCCAAAAACTAAGGGTGAGTATAAGTTAGAAACATACTCATGGCAGACCTCTAGCTGAAGCTTTATTAATTTTTAACAACATAATCATATGGTTATTTTCAAATATATTAAAATATATAAGTTAAATCCTAAGAATATATTATTAATTTTAAATAGAATCTATATAATATTGAGACAATAAAAGAATATATTTATAGGATTTTAAAGCTAGTTACGTACAAGCATTATTAAAATCCTAGTAGGGTCAATGTAAATGATATAGATTTCAAATTATTTTATATGTCATCAGGTAAACTTCAGCATCAATAGATGGCAAACTGATCCATTAAAAATTTTTTGTTAGATATCAAACTTGTATAAAATATTATTTGAATGTTTAATATTAAAGATGTGTAAAAAAATAAGACAAATTAGTGATAAAAATTGAATTTGAGCAGATTTTTAAAAACTGCTAACTCATTATTGTAGCCAAAAAAAATATTGTATATGCCTTGAGTTTCTCTAATAGATGTCTTGCCATCTATGAGCAAAATTTTGAAGTCTCTAATATTATTCTGAATAGTTAGCTTTTAAAAATAGGCTCAAATTGACGTGTTTACAAATATAATAATTTTTAGAAAGATAGATATATAATACTCTATATCCTTAATTTATATATATATTACTATTTTAATGATATAGAATAAATATTTGAAAAGGTTTAATTTTTTAAAAATACTTTTGGAACGAAATAAAAATATTAGTACTTAGACAATTTACCTTTAAATAAATAATCATATTCATCATCCTTTAGCCCCATTATAGAATAATACTAATAATATAAAACCAAATTAAATGGCGACCCAAATCAGTGTGCTATGATTTGCATACGAAATGTGTTTTTTTGGTGAACTCTGAAGCCCTCCGTGATTTAAATGAAATTTGTGTTATTATAGGATACGAAACGAATAGCATATATAAATAATATTATTGCATACAAATAATAATAATATTATAGCATATATGAAATAATAAAAACTTATATATGTCATAATCAATTTTAAAACTTTGATCAAAGATATTTAAATTATTTACATTTTCAGCGATATATAATTAATAAAAATATTTTGAGGATAATCGATGGTAGTGATAATTTTATATTTAGGTTATTAATATCAAGTCAATTTAATTATATCAATGATGTTGTCAATTTGATATGTAGGGTATTAGTAAGAAGATGGTACCATCTTCATCATATTTAAAGCATAGCAAGATAAAGGTTGAGTTAGGAATAGATTCTTTTCTATCAAAATATTTTTAGTAATTAAAGATTCTGTATGTTTGGCTCATGGCTTGAGTCAGATATATAGGGACGTAGGTAAAGAAAATGTGTTCATTAAAACATTATCCCAACTTTAGTATTTTTGAAAGATACTAAATATTCTGAAATAAATTTGTCATTTTAGCAACTCTAGAAACGACTATCAATTTTATAAAATAGGAAGACAAGATGGGCTCATATGATGTAATTACCTAATTAAAAATGGGGATTTAAATTGCTCTATGAAGACCAACAAAAAAAATGACTTAAATTATAAATACTCTATAACCAACTATCAAAATATTGTTAATATATAGGTAAAGAAAATGGGTTCATTAAAACATTATCCCAACTTTAGTATTTTTGAAAGATACTAAATATTCTGAAATAAATTTGTCATTTATAGCAACTCTAGAAACGACTATCAATTTTATAAAATAGGAAGACAAGATGGGCTCATATGATGTAATTTCCTAATTAAAAATGGGGATTTAAATTGCTCTATGAAGACCAACAAATCCAATGGTATAATTTGAAAAAAATGACTTAAATTTTAAATACTCTATAACCAACTATCAAAATATTGTTAATATAAATGAATTATTTTTTAGAACATCAATTAAATTAAAAAACCAACATTTACAATGAATGATTATTATTAGTTGGCATGAATATAAGTTAGCTAATAGAATGTCACATTAAAAAATAGAGCAGGAGATTATCAAGAAATAAGTTTTATTTGAAAAATAATAACCAAGTTTATGATACTGGATTATGTTTGCGATCAAATTATATATAGCAATATTTATTCATAGATCATTCAAAAATATGATAAATAATACTCTAATTAATAATACTCTAATCATTAATTAATGCCTACTTCCTACCCCTCTCCCCCTCCTTGAAATATATGGATACAAACTGTTCCTACCCAGCTCTCTACGACGCGCTGTTCTATTCTCTTTTAGGGTATAGGATTATGCTAATCTTAATATGAAAATCCTTTTTGTCTTTTTGTATTAAGATTTTTTTAATTTTCATAGTGCTAATTTTGATTTTGATTACCTTTTAATTTTTATTTATATTTTTTTATATAAAGGTTAGAAGAATAATATTTATTATTTAATAATATATCATAATAGTCTCTTGTCCTTACATAAGCTTAGAATATATTGAAACATTTAGAACTTTCTTACTTTTTTTTATTTGAGCTGGTGTATTTTGTTTCCTTGTGTTTCCTGTTAAAATTTAATTCAATAATATATCTTTTCTTTGTTTCTTGGTTAACTTAATGATATTCAATAATGAAAAATTTATCTAAGTCAAATTATGTGTATAGCAATTAATGCTATGCACTGATATATTTATAAAATTAAGTGTCATTTATAATTCATTATGGTAATAATATAGTTTCCACTTGTTATTTTAACTTTTTGATTATTTGGATTAAATGAAAAGGTAAAAAAATTATAATGAATTGTTAATTTAATTAACGTGGCATGAGCGAGTACTGGCTTTATCTGGTTTTCGACGAAAAAACCCCTCCTATGGAAAAGAATTTTATATTTATTTTATTTTAATATAATTACATACTATAATTTAAAATTAGTGGTTTGATGAATTATTTTAAATTGTTTTCAAAAAAAATAAATAATAATTAAATCTCTACATATATATAGTATTTATAAAGTAAAGTATAAAAGTATTTGAATAGTAAAATTAAAATAAGGAAAAAAAAGTAATGATCTTAAAATAATGTTCTCGTTAAACAAATTAATTGAAACAATTTTTTTTGCCGAAGAAATCAATTTAAATTATCTATTAATAAAATAATAAATATATTATTAGCAACAAAATATATATCAAAATTACTATAATAAACTATTCAATAAAATAAAATAAACTAATTTAAAAACAAAAATATTAATTGATAAGTAGTGTTAGTAGTAATCGAAATTTAATATCAGAAATAAATCCTGCAATTGAATTTTTATTTTATTTCATATCAAAAAATATATACTTTTTCTTATTTAAATTCATATAATAATATGATAATGAAAATAATTTTACAAAAAATAACAACATAATCAATTCAATACATAACATTTATCCCCAATCTAATTGGTTTCGTTCTTATTCTTTTCGGTATCAATCTTGACTTGTAGTTTCTAACTTTTGTGTAAAACTTCCTTTTTTTTAAAAAAAATATTACGTAATAGAAATTTTTTTCTTGACTTGTATCATTTTACTCCCTCTCCTTTAGGTTCAGTTCATCGTTATTAGTTACTATATATTCCGTTCACTCTTCTACTTCGTATTCTTATGTTAATATATTATCGGTTTTTTTCCTTATTTAATGAGTATAACCTATAATCGTTTTACCCTCTATACTTACTTCATATCGTAGTGATCCAAGTATGCTTTTATTAATAGCTTTTTCCCATTTTTTTTATTAAATGCGCGACCACACTATTCATATATCTCGAATTTTTGAGTGAAGTATTTAAACTTCTCCTTTTTGTTCCTCTGCTCGAATATTTAGTCTAACAATCCTCTAGGTTTTTTTTAGTAGTATTTCGGCTGGACTTTGTTTCTGTCTGGTGTATTTCGGTAATTGTAAAGAAAAAGAGCTAGACTGGTTTCTAAATCACACACGTTTTCTTTATTCATGCTCTGTTTAAAGATTCAGAGTAAACGTTCAGCCATGTCGTTAGTCTGAGGATGGTATGGACTTAAGTGCACTAATTGTACTGTTTGAATTGTCGCCCGTTGCGATTATCTTAGGAATTCCGAATCTGGCAAAGATATTTCTAAATAATCTTAAGGTGCTTCCGTTGTATACTAGTCACAGGACCTATTTCTGGCTAACGACTACTAATCTATCAGTACCAATAAATAATGATTTTGAGCATAATCATTATATACTCGGTGCCATACTTTTGGTTGTTTTGGCCAATTGTGAATTGATGTCTTTTGAGGCATATCATATTGTTTATGGCATTCTCTACATTTTTCGACTCATGTTTCTATATCTTGGTTTATATTAGGCTAGGCCACCATGCGTATTGTCTTGCTCTCAACTTCATTTTGCTAATCCAATATGTCCTTTATACAGGGTTGTGCATTCGGTAAATTGAACGATAATTAACTTTATTTTGAATAAAATAGTAAAATGAATCTATAATATTATTTTTTAAATTCATTGTCATTCAATAACTAACGTGTAGTTATCTGTAGCAGAGTCTTGTTCTGATTCATATTCAATATTATCATTTTTTTTAATATTTTTTAATCAATTTTCCTGATGTCTTAGATCTTCAATTCATTTCTATTTTCATAGGAATATTAACCCAAATCGACCTATTTCTTTCTAAAGAAGTAGAACAAGGAATTGTTAGTCTCTTAATGGGCAGAGTGGACAAAGTTTAATATATTAACTTGAGGTCGGAATTGATTGTTTCTGAAAATTACTACTTTCCACATAATTTACTATACTAAACATGCTGTTTTTGCTTCTGAAATAAATTATATCACTTAAAATATTTTGGTCATCACTACCTTGTAAAATAGCTAATTCTAGAATTATATCACATACTTTATTAATTTCACTACTAGTGCGTTCTCCTCTTGATATTGTGGACCCAAAAAATAAGCAAACATTGTGATCACATGTAATTTATATCTTTTTTGCCTTTTTTAAACAATTTAATTTATTTTTCCTTTGAATTTTGTAGAGTATTTGACCTAGTCAAATCCTCCTCTGGTCAATTGACTTAATTTGACTGGTCAATTGACCGACTTGCCAACCCTGCCTTTATATATGATTCATGTCTAACACGTGGGTTAGGTATTGTTGTGTTATTATCATTTTAGTTCTCCACAGTAAACAACTTCTCTATTGTGATTTCCTCTCTTCTTTGGCTATAATCCTTTATACATGTATCATAGTTTATTAATCCGTTTATTGTATACCGGTGTACTTTAGAGGGTACATCATCTTGCATTATTTTTCTTTCAATTTCACTTGCATTTAAAGGTGCATGTTCTCCCACCTATGGTTGATTTAATGTTTCTTCTTTTGATATTGTGGTTCCCGTATATTTAATCAAGATAGCTTGTTAGCACTGGCTAGTTGTCGACTACCTTTGAATTCTATTTCATATTGGTAACCTGCTAATAATAAAGTCCATCTTTGTATTCTGGTAGTAGATGTTGTTGATATATATTTTCTTGAATGAAATAAGCTCATTAATGGCTTGTGGTCTGTTAATAAATTCTTTGAATTTTGTATCCCAAAAAATGATGGCAAGCGCTACCCTTTCTATTTGGCTATAATTTTTCTCGGCTGCATTTTTCTCTTGAGACGAATGCATTTGGTCGCTATATATGATATTACTGCCCCAATTCCTATGGCTGACGCATCTATTGCTAATACAATGAGTAATTTCGGATCATAAAAATTTGAGTACTACTTATTTCTTGCTTTATTAATAATACTTTTTTGCATTCATTTGTCCATCTCCAAACTATTTATCTATAATTTGTATAATGGTTTTGTCTTTGTCTGCAAAATTTGAAATAAATTTTGAATAGTATGTTGCTGACCCTAGAAATGAGTAA